GGGAAGCTGTGGTCCTCTATGAACAAAGTGGAACAAAAACAGTGAAATATCCGAGTCAGTATTAAAACTCCTCTGTACTTATAGACTGATGGGATCCAGGAAAAACAACATTCCCTTCAGTCCTGCATCTTCTGGCCAATTCTGGTTAAAGTTTTAGGTAGAGTTACAGTCTTGGGCAAAAGTTAAGTGTGCCATCATTATTGAATGAAACAAAGGTTAGCAGATGTCTGTTCTTAAGCACAAAACCCGCAGGATAAAGGAGCAGTCCTTCAACTGAATATACATCCTTGACTTACTTTCCAAGTTGCAGTGCTGGCCCTTGCAGGGGCACAATAGAAGTCCTATAGCGTGATTCTGCATGCAAGCAGAATGAAGGTGTATGACATGCATCAAATACCAGTAAGAAAAGTATTAAGCTATCATGTCATTGTTCCAGAAGAGCCAAAGTGTGTGATCAAAGAGGGTGCAATTGTTTTAAATGAACTCAAATTCATTAAAACTGTAAATTGCTATACAGTTTATAACAATAGTTCCAGAACATTAGCTGGCATCAGAATCCCCTTGAAAACATCTTAAAAGATGTCTGGGCCCATAGAGTCTCCGATTCAACAGGTCTAAGTGGGGTCAGAGAATTGGCATTTCTAGCAAGTTCCGAAATGATGCTGATGCTGTTGGTTTTGAGATCACCCTTTGAGAACCACTGGTTTATAAGGAAACTTTATCAACCTTTTTTTTTCTTCCTCTCCCATCCACAACCCTTCCATCCTTTGGTTGTTCTCATGATTGCCCCTTAAAACTCATCTAGAAATCTGTCTTCTTTTATAATCTTTAAACATTGTACCTCTTTCCCCCTTTTCTGTTTTCTGCCACATGCTCAAGCCAGAAAATCAATCTGGCAATGGCAGAAGCCTCTTGAATGGGTGTGGAGAGGGAAAAACTAAACAGGCTACACCAGAATTCTTTCACAGATAGAAGACTGGGAACACTCATGTGTTAATTTTCAACTTCTCACCAGACAAATGGACATTAATCTCCGACTAAAGGCTGGGTTTACCAGCACACACAGCAGGGGGTAGCCCTGGTCTCTAAATTTGCCCTGTGACTGCCTAGGGATGAGGGCCCAGAGGATCCTTGTGGCCTCCTTCCAGAAGGGAATTTTGGCAAGCTTAGAAGACTGTGATCCAGGATGTTTGTTTTTAGAAGCTCACTCAGTGGGGCCTGCCTCCCTGCAGAGCCCTATCAGCTCCTCTTTCCTGCTTCTCTTTCTCCTATTTCCAGGGCCTTTCTTCTGCCTCCTCAGCTTGGTGGCTCCAGGGGGCTGTGTTCTCTGCTCTGCAGGTGTCAGGCCACACTCACAGGGATTACCCCAGCGGGGACCAAGGTGCCTGCGGAAACAGGAATAGGATCATTCTTTTGTTGGAAGATGGTAGAACATTTATTCTTCTCTCAATTTTCTTAGTGAAAAAAAAGGGGGGGGGGGAAAGGAAGGATGGAAGGAAAAAAGAAAGGGGAAAGGAAAGAAAAGAGGAAGAGAAAGATCTATTTTAGCATTTACTTAGGTAGTTCAGACTGAACAAACCCTGCTCAAAAAGCTGTTCTTCCCTGGGTGTCATTAATCTTCTACATAGAATCTGCTCTTGTCCAAATCTGAATGTAATTTTTTGGAAGGAAGGGGAGATTGCATCCAGCAGTTAAATGTGTGGTCTACTCCTGGGGATCCTGGTAAAACACAGTTTCTAATGCCGAAGGCCTGGGGACCTGAGACTCTGCATTTCTCACAAGCTCCCAGGTGATGCTGATACTGCTGGTCTGGGGACCACACTTTGTGTCGCGAGGCTGTAGAGCACTTAGAACTAGAACAACCTTAGAGATAAATTTTAATGCAATCCCTTTGCAAATAAGACAACTGGAGTCCTGAGAGGCTGGGTGACTGTTCCACGGCCACACATCTGCATGGTGGTAGAGCCAAGTCTAGAACTGGGTCCTCGCTCTCCCAGTCCAAGATTCTTCTGCCTCCTCAGGAAGAAAGCAAGGCAGGAATATAAAATAGGTGGTAGACGCACTAAAATGAGAACATCTGTTTTATTTTATTTTAGTTAGGCTGTATTTATTAAAAATCTTTATTGTTTAAAGTATTGCATATGTCTCCTTTTCTGCCCTTGACCTCTTCTAGCCCGCCCCGCACCACCTCCCCCCTCTTCACCATGCTATTGTCAGTGCCCATGGGTTATATATATATATGCATTCAAGTTCTTTGGTCTATCTCTTTCTACTCACCCACCCACCCCTGCCTTCTATCTGAGGTTTGACTGTCTGTTTAGAATGTGAACATTTAAAAGGAGGATCTGGACCTGGGGAAGTCAGTGTTGAAGTGCACCTGTCAGTGATCCCCAAGACTGCACTATGAACCTTTTCACTGCTACTGGCCAGTCACCTGACAGCCACAGATTTGAGAAAAGCGAAAATGCAGCGTTTTCCTGAGCCCTGGTTGAGCCTGATAATTTATGGTGGTTGTCAAGTTAGAATCTTAAGTGGGCACCTTTATGGTCATCAGGCAGCTCCCAGGAAGACAGAATTGCCAGGAATAAAGGGGCCAGCATAGGGCAGCTGGGATCCTCGCCAGGACAAACTGTCGGAAAATCTAAGAACAGCTGTTTGGTATATTGGAACCCAGTGGATTTGCAATTCCTCACCCTTCTAGACCCTCTCACATTTTATACTGGCACTCCTCTTCATTGTACTGAAGGTAACAAACACTTTGTCTAAGGCAGCTGGGAATCTTGGAATTGGAGGCAAAACTTCCCAGAATGAAAAACATTTGTTCTTTAGCATTGGCGCAGGCCAAACTCAGGTGAGCTGGGTTACTACAGGCACCTTGGATTGGATGTTTAAAGACTCACATTTCAGGTTTGGCTCTTTTGCTTATTAGCCATTAAGAGGGTTTCTAGGGAAATGGTACCATTCATTCATTCATTCATTCATTCACTTTGTCATTTATTTCTTCAGCCAATTAACAAACATTTATTAAGCACCAACTTGTATGTCAGAATTTGAAGACACAAAAAATTCTCTGTGCTCTCAAGAGATTCATATAGGAGATGGATAAACCAACTATTACTTATAGCTGTGAGAGGTACAGGAAATACAAGAGCAGGGGTGGGGAACCTTTTTTCTGCCAAGGGCCATTTGGATATTTGTAACATTATTGGTGGGTCATACAAAATTATCAATTTGAAAATTTATGTTGCTATGAAAAAAGCTCCTAGATTTGTTGAATTTTGAGTCTCCCTTGCAGTTGCCTTGGCAGGGCCAGACCAAATGATATGGCCTGTGGGCTGGACATTCCCTACCCCTGGATTAGAGTATAAAAAAGAAACAATGATATCAGATTGGTTGATGGCAAAGGCTTCCTAGAAGAAGTGATAGTTGAATTGAGTCTTGAGGAAGAGGGGAAAGGGTGGGGGCACAGAAAGACCCTTTTTGGCAAGGAGAACCATTTGATCATGGCCCAGGCCTTGGAACTGCACAAATCATTCAGGGGATTGCAAATTGTAAAATGCAGTTGGATCTGTGGTGGTGTGATATGATTGGAGTCAGGTCCCAAAGATCCTATGTACTGAGTCAAGGCTTAGTTTTAATTAGACAAAACTGTGAAGAGAAATTTGATGTAATTGGTTATTATAATTATTATAATAATTATAGTCATCATCATAATAACTACTTTAATTAAGCCTATTGCTATTATTTAATCCTCACAGCAAACCTAGGAGGTAGATACTGATATTACACCTGGTATGCTGTTCTGGAATTTGAGGCTCAGAAAGAAAGGGTGAGTAACTCATACCCATGCAGCTGAAATTCTGATACAGCCATGCTTTCAACCCCATCAGATCCAGAGAATGCTTTCATAACAAATATTTTTAATCCCCCTTTGTTATTGTGAAATGAAGTTTAAATACAATATTCACTTAGATACATAATTCTAAAAGATAATATAATATCCACCTTTAGTGTAAATAAAAAATAAAAGGAAAATAATTTGTAACAAAATAATATGTATTTCATTATGGAAATCCTCAGACCTAGCTATTCTAGAAGCATTATGAAATAGTTGATGGTTGTACTTACATGTAGAATCAACTTGAATGCAACAGTTGTTAGGTTCTTAGGGATATGAATGGTGAGCAAAATCAGACAGAATCTTTGCTCTTATGAGCTTATAGTCCAGTAATAGGAAAAAGAAATCAATTAGCCATGCAAGTACTTGTATAAGCTCTTCTAATTATACAGAGAGGGGGGAGAGGGGAGAGGAGGGAGGAAAGAAGAAAAGGGAGGGAATGGAGGAGAGGAAATGGAGGGGAAGGAAGAGGTGAAGAGATAGGAGGACCTAGGAATCATAGAAACAAGGGCCATACTTCTAGGATTCTCCATCAGTGGCCTTGTGAAAGTGTTGCTTTTAACTTTTTATTATGGAAAATTTCAAACTTATTTAAAAGTAGAATAGTGTTTTGAATCCCATCATCAGTGCCAACAATGATCAGCCCATGGATAACCTTGTGTCTATGTCTCCAACCTCTCTCTCTGAATCATTTTAAGGCAAATCCTAGAAAGCATATAATTTTTTCTGTGACTATCTTGGTATAATTCTCTAAAAGAAATAATCACATTAATACCATTGTACACTTATCATATTAATCATTAGAAATAGCATCATACTTTAGAAATGCATCATGATTCATTATGACGACTATTAAATAATTAATAAATGTTCTCTTTTCACTGATGTTTTATTTTAAACATTTCTGTTGTTTTATTTTTTCATTTAAATCAGAAACCAAATAAAATCCAAATGTTGTAATTGATTACTATGATTCTTAGGTCTCTGTTAATCTATAGATTATTCTTCAATTTCTCTCTTTTATTATTTTTTTCCTTGCAAGTGTTTTATAGGACAAACTGAGTGGATTATCCTATAGAGTTTCCCACATCCCAGACTTATTGAAGACATCTCTGTGATGACATTTAACAGATTCACTGTCTCTTGTGTTTACTATAAACTGGGAGATAGACTTTGAATTTTTATTAAATTCACAATCCGTTTTTTTTGAGGGGGTGGGGAAGGGCAAAGCCCTATTCTTCTACAGGAGATGCACTGATTGTCTCTCTGCAATGTGACCAGTCATTGATCATTGTTTAGCTCTATTAATTCATATTACAAAATGGTGGACTAATTCTGTATTCCATCCTTTCTTTTCACTAGCTAGAATACCTCTATGTAGAGAAACTTTTCCTCATCAACTATTTGGTTATGCTAAGGCATAGTTCTTTATAGAAAAATATAATTTGTTTCATTTTTTCTCTTATTTGCCAGTTTTCTAAATAATAAGTTGGTCCTACAGCAACCTGTAAAGTGATTAATCAATGTCTTAAAATACTACAAATTTAAATATGTTATATGTGATTTGCACACTGCGTGCTCAAATTATTCCATTTTTGGCCAAAGGCAGTCTCTTCAAGTTTGCTCCTGTGTTGTTTTGATGTAATCCTCTTAATCTTTGATAGCTTCCTTGTTTTCTCATGTGACAAACTTTCCAAGCTCATTTTTGAACGTTTCCTGTTCCAAAATTGAAGTCAGTCATTTCTCCAAGGGGCCGTGGTTTCTTTGAGTGAGAAATAGTGTTTAGCGGTAATAATCTAAGTTACCAGAGTTGCTCAGTGCATGTAGATTGTTGTTTCTAGGCTTTGTCTGCCAATAGAACTAGAAAATATGTACCATACAAATAGTTTTTATTCATATTTAGGATTACAGGGTTTTTATTTACCACCATCTACCATAATCTGTATTTCCTTTCTCCCGTGTTGAAAATCCTGGCTTTCTATGACACCCACAAAATTATTTGTTCAATTTATTCCACAGAACACTCACAGCATTCTCAAAGTACCAATACCAACACTACTGCCACCAATACAATGACTTTTTCCAGTCCCATTTGTCCTTAGGATATACCTTAGTAGGGATCTGCAGCCCAATAATGGTGCTTTATAGTCTCTACATAGCTCTTGTCCATGAGGTTGTGCCAAAGACTGGTTACACATTTATGTTCCTTTGCTCCTGCTTACCTAGAATTTTTAGGGGGTGCTTTTAAAACAAGATATATTAAAAGAAGTCCTTGCTACCTCCACCCAATTATTTATGATATATATTATTTATCATATGATCATTTTGCTTTTTTTTTGTTGTTGTTTTTAACTCAACAATATATCCTGGGTCACACAAAATCTGGGTTCAAATTCTACCAGTGCCACTTATGTGACCTTGAGCCTATCTCTTAAACTCTCTGTACTGGTTTTCTCACATGTATAATCATAACAATAATACCTACCTTCTAGGGTTGTGATAGGTATGGGTGCACTAGCACAATGGGTGGCACATAGAAGGCACTCAATTTATAAGGTAGTTTTATTTATGTTATATTTAATAACTTTTATGTACCCCCACCCCATTTGATGAGACCCAGGTCATTCACCATCAATATCTTACAGTGAAGATTAAGAGGGAGGGTGGGGGCAATTTGACAACTGTTGAATATGGACTCAAAGAATTAGAAAGTTAACATTGGCAAGAGTCATGAGAGATCTCAGTAACTATCCTGTTTCTTTCATGGGGATAGGCATAGAGACCTAGATGGACTGAGCGGTTTGCCCAAAGCCACCAACCGGGATGGGAAAATTGTGCTGGTGATGCCCAGTCCAATTTATTTTTCAAGGTAACTTTTCTTTAAAGAAGAGTTCCATCTTCTGCAGTGAGTAGAAGTTTCTCTGCACATTCCCGTGTTCTATCCATAAAAGGAGGAACCAATGGCAGGGACGGGTCAGGGAAACTATGCCTTGAAGAAGAGTTTCTTCCCTCCCTTGGTATGTAAACATGGTAACTGGAGCTAATCCCTATCACTGAGCAACTGTCTCTGGAATATATCCAGTTGGGGATTGTGGGAATGATAAGAAAGTTCAAGGAACAGTCCCTTACCCTCAGGGGGCTTTAAAACAACTTCAAGCTCATTTGAAAACCAAACATGGCTGTAAAAAATGTGTTAGGGCTTAAAATAAGAATACATTTTAATTGTGTTATCTTTTTTTCCAATTACAAGAACCCTTAGAGTTTGTTACTATTTATTATTATTATTATTGTTGTTGTTGTTGTTGTTGTTATTTTTATATAAACATACTAAAGTTTAAGTAGGTTATGTGACTTGTCCAAAGTTACATAGCTGGTCAGTAGAAAAGTGGGTCTGTGATACCAATTCCTATTGGTATTGGTATCTTAATCAGATACTCACAAGGGGGTGGTGCATTCTACTCTAACCTGATTCTGGGCTCATTTGGGGACAAAGAAAAAGAAAAAAACAGGAAGGAGTATTTCAGAACAATTTGCAGTCACTTAATATTTAATCAGTGGATTAGCTCATTCATTCATTCATTCATTCATTGCTTCCTAAATGCATTAAGAATCTGGACTGCCTCAGTTTGAACTCTGACTCTACAACTTACTAGGTGAGCAGGTGACATACCTTCTCTGTGCCTCAATTTCCTCATCAGTATTATGGGTTATAATAGTACTTACCTCATGGATTGTGGTGAGATTAAAATGAGTGAATTTGTAAAAGCCCTTGGAATGCCTGGCCCATGCTAAGAGCCTATAGTCTTCACTTGTGTTGCTATGTCTGTGGAGCGATGTATTCTGTGATGTGTGTTTTGGTGGAAAAAATTAGGAGCCTTGGGTTTTGATTTAGCTCTGCCACCAATGAGCCACGTGATCATGGGAAGGTTTTCTGTCACTCTTGAACCTCAATTTTCTCATCTATGAAAAAAAAAGGGTTTTGACCTTATGATCTCTAAAGTCTTTCTACTTCAAGTGTCAATATGTTGAGGTGTCTTCCTCATCACAAGTATGAAAACCAATCTTAATAGAATAATCTTTCAGTTGGAAGCTCATTTTAAAAATGATTCTATTTCATTCTTAAAGAGAAGGAAAGGGAGACTGATACCTTTTCTACATATGTTTCTCAAAGTGTGGTTCTTACCATAGACCACCCACCTCAGAACTGCCTGGGCTGCTATTAAAAAGAGAGTTGCCTGGATCTCAGCCCAGACCCACTGAGTTAGGGCCTCTGGAGATGGGGCCTGGATAACTACCTAGTTGATAACAATCCCAAGTGGTTCCAGTGACAACTCTTGTTTGACCACCACTGGAGAAGAAAGAATGCCAATGTTGAGTCAGATTCTCACACTTGAATGTGCATTTAAGTCAGTTGGGGAGATTTGGGTTCAGGACGTTTGAGGTGTGGCTTGAGAACCTGCATTTCTAATGAACTTCCAGGGGCTGCTGAAGCTACTGGCCCATGGACACAATTGAGAAGCTAGGCTTCCTAGCTCCACACATGAGCTGCATGACCTTGGGGAAAGTCCTCAATTTCTCTCAGCTCTAGGTTTTGTTTTTTATCTATGAAGAGGGAGAAAGTAATGCCTACATCATAGGATTGAGAATTGGATTAAACCACATAATGTATGTAAAGCTGCTTGCTTACATGCATCATATCAGCAGTCATAAAAGATACTTTTGAGTATATGCTACCATAACAAAAGTTCCATTGATTTAGACTCTCATGAGTTGGGATGCTGGGAATGTGGAGTTTTAACTAAGAGCTATAGGTGACTCTGATGTACAAAAGATCACAAGAGAGTTGATAACCCTGCACTCTGTCTCTGTCCAGGACAGGAAAATCCCAACCTCATTCAGGTTCTCCAAATCCCACAAGCAACTGAAAGACATGTGGTGATGCCCTCAATAAAACTGTTGCTCCCCAAGCAGCACAGGTAATGAGAGTTGTATGATAGCTTTCACTGCTTCCTCAGCAAATATATATCAGAAGACTCTTATTTCCCCGCGGGGTGTAAGAAATGGACTCAAATCATCAAATACTGAGCCTGCTCATTTAACTCAACTATCAGGGTACTCATACCAGGAGATAAATAGGAATTGGTGCCCAGGATAGAATACTGAGTCATAGGCTTTGAGCTTTTGAAGGTGATGGGGTTCCTATGGGGGAGAAACGGTTTGCACAATTGCCATATCTCTTTCTGTGTGGGGCCTCTGGCTGTAACCTGACTTGGATTTAGCATCTGAAGTTTTTACTTATAGAATTTGGGGAACGCAGTTCAACAAATCTTTATTGAATATCTATCATTCCAGGCACTTTGCTAGATGCAGAGATACAAGAATAGCAAGATAGTTAATCTAAGAGTTGCAGCAGGTAATAAGTATACAAACTAACAAATGCATAAATAAGACTATTTTAGATTCTGTTGAAAGCTAGAAAGGAAATAAAAAGAGATGGAGTGAGACTTTTGTTTTGAAAAGGGTCAAGGAATGCTTCTTTGAGAAGGTGATAATTTAGGAGAGGCTCAAAGCATGAGCATGAATTGGCCTTTCATAGAAGAGAGGAAAAGCATTCCATGAAGAAAGAACAGCATAAGTGAGGTAGAGAACTTGGCTAGTTGGAATAACTGGAAGAAAACCAGCATGGCTGTGGAGTGAGTGAGTGAGTGAGTGAGTGAGTGAGCATGTGTGAGTGTATGTGTGTGTGTGTGCATGTGAACAAGTATGTGTGCAATGGGGAGGTGATCCCAAATGAGGTTGAAGAGATGACTAATAATAGGAGATAACACTTGTTCGGTGTGCCAGGCACTGTTCTAAGAGCTTTGCCTGTAATAATTCCTTTAATCCTCATCACAACAACTCTTTTTTTAAAAAAAATATATTTTATTGATTTTGTACAGAAAGGAAAGGAGAGAGATAGAGAGCTAGAAACATCAATGAGAGAGAGTCATCGATCAGCTGCCTCCTGCACACCCCCCACCGGGGATATGCCCACAACCAAGGTACATGCCCTTGACTGGAACCGAACCCGGGACCCTTCAGTCCCCAAGCCGACGCTCTATCCATTGAGCTAAACCGGTCCCGGCACAACAACTCTTATATCCATCTTACAGATGATAAAATTGAGGCACAGAGTGGCATGCTGTAATCTTTTCTCTTCCCAAGTCTTCTAGAAGTCTTATCTGAGCTATTATGGGAGCAGTGAGTGAAATAATGCATGGAGAGTGATCAGCACATGCCCTGCACGTAGGAAGGGCTTTGCAAATGTAATTAGTGTAGTTATTTCTCCATATTGGATCTTGAGTTTTCCACTGGGGAGAACTAAACAACTGTGACTAGGGTGAGCATTTAATTGTCACCCAAACTGAGACATTTTTAAGAGTGCAAGAAAGTACTGTTTTTAATTAAATAACAGTAACGGGCATAAACTAGGACTATCTCTGGCAAGCCAGAATGAGTGGTTTTTGTAACCACAAAGTCCAGATGTTATTGTCTAAGAATTCACTGGCTAATGGGGGCAGGGGGTGGCTATTAACAAACCTTATTATCCCCACATTTCACGGGATTCAAAGCCTCTCTCTAAGCCTTAGTAAGGCTTAGACAATAATCCACATATTTACGTTTTATTTTTTACTGAAGTCAAGTTTCACATAAAAAAAGACTTTTGTCTGAACATGTGGTTTCATCATAACAAAATATTTCTTTGCAAAAGCTTTAGCAAGACATGGGGACCCCATTCTGTGTGATGTAATGGTGACATTTCTTTCCCATCTAGGGAGAAAACACTTTCATTCTAAATTACAATGTCACAAGGAGAATAGAGACAATTAATTTCAGACTCCACTAACATGGGCTGAGACTGATATTCCTTCCTACTTTAGCTATTGGTAAATGAATTTGTAAAAATTCATTTTTAATGTGCATGAAAAGGGATTGGGTTTGGAGGTTAGAGGAATTTAAAGCTACGTGATAATAATAACTGGTGTATTTTGAGGTAGACTAAACTTTTCATGCATTAATTGATCTAATTCTCACCTCAGCCCTGTGAAGTAGGTACATGAAGAGGAAATTGCAGTCTTGAGAGGTTTGCTTAAATTTGCACAGTTAGTAAGAACATGATGGAGCTGAGAAACAAACTCCTATTCTCCAATATCTCTCTATAACACCAAAATATTCTACTTATAGATAATTGATACGAGAGGTTATGGGGATGCAAAAGAAATAAAACAAAGTGTAACTCTAATTTTCCCTTCTTTGTGAAGCCCAGATACCTTATCCATAGAACTCATATTCTAATTATAAAGTTTCATTTTTGTCTTCCCTCTAGGTTTTGAGAAACTTATAGATATATGCAGATTTGTCATATTTGGTGTCTAGCACATTGTCTGGGACTCATGTCAGTATTCATTATTTGTTTATTGATTGATTTAACAAATATTTATTGTCAACCCTCTATATGTGAGGCACTCTGTTAAATATGGGAATAAATAATGAAGAAGACCCACCTAGCAATCTCACTTCTGAAATTATATCCTAACAATTGCAAAAAATACTAGTCAGAAAGAATATATGCACCCCTACGTTCATAGCAGCTTTATTTACAATAGTTAAGAAGATGAATGAATAAAAAAAATCTATGGTACATTTACACAATGAAATACTGTGCAGCTATAAAAAAGAATGATGTTTTACCCTTGTGACAGCATGGATGGACCGGAGACTATTATGCTAAGTGAAATAAGCCATTCAGAGAAAGATAAATAGCACATGAACTCACTTATATGGGGAATCTAATGAGCAAAATAAGCTGACAAACAAAATTGGTCCAGAGACATGGAAGCATGGAACAAACTGACAGATCTCAGTGGAAAGGGGGTGGAGGGAAGCAGGAAGAGATTAACCAAAGAACTTGTATTAATATATGCATAACTCATGTAGTGCAGTGAAGAGCTGGGTGAGGTGGGAATAGGATTGAGGGGGCAAAGGGATGAAATGGATGAAATGTTGAAATACTCTCAACAATAAAAATAAACAAATTTTTAAAAAAAGAAAATCTATCTGACTCTTGTCCTCATCAAACTCATTATCCCACCGACATCCCTTTTACATCACTGTTCAGTGAATAATCACAGGAAGGACAAATTGAACCACCATGCTGGTGAAGACTTAAATGTCCTCTCATTTGCCTGATAGTCTCAGACAGGACAGCCTTTAGGTAGAACATAAGAGGGAAAGGTGGGTTGTTAAACAGGCAGGTAAACATAGTACAATTTTTCTCAAACTCTAGGATGTATACAAATTATCTGAGGCACTTGTGAAAAATGCAGACTCCAAAGGATATGAGTTAGTGGTTCTGGAGCACTCCAGATAGTTGACTCATTTATTTAAAAAATATTTATTGAAATTGTACTATGTGCCGGGCACTATTTTGGACTCTGGGGATCAGCAGATGAGCTAAATATATCTTAACTTTTTGTTTTGTCTGTTAATCCTCAAATGAGGACATTTTCCCACTGATTTTTAGGGAGAGTGTAAGAGAGAGGGAAAGACAGAGAGAAAGAAACATTGATGTGAGAGAAGTACATTGATTGGTTGCCTTTTGCACGAGCCCTGACCAGGGCATGGGCCGGTGAGGAGCCTGCAACCAAGTTAGTACGTGCCTTTGACTGGAATCAAATCTGACACCCTTTGGTCCACAGGCCAATGCTCTATCTGCTGAGCTAAACCTGCTAAGGCTGTCCCTACTCTTAAGGGGCTTACATTCCAGTGGGGAAAATAAAGATGAAAAAATAAGGTCATTCCCAATTGGGAAGAGTGTTATGAATCAGGCAATGGGTTGAAGAATGGCTTGCTATTGCAGTAAGGGGTCAGAGACTGATTTATGCTTGGGGTTCAGGGGAAGCTTCTGTAAAGAATAAACATTTGAGTTGATTCTTAAACCACGAGAATGATCCATCCATGCAAAGAGTTAGGGAAGAGGGTCCTAGGCAAAGGTCCTCAGGAATTGCCATGCTCACGGAACAGAGAGGAGACCAGTATTGGATTAAAGTGAGCTACAAGAGGAGGTCATAGAGGTAAGTGGGGGCCAGATCATAGAAAGCCTTGGAGGCTATGATAATGAGTTTGGATTTTATCCTAAGAGCAATGTGAAACATTAGAAAGTCTTGAGGCAGCAGAAAGCCATCATCCTTATGCTACACTTTGAGAAACACTGATAGTAGCTTGACCTCAGCCAAAGAAACAGGATCCCAGAACCCTCACCCTATCGCCTTCCATCCTTTTCCATCATTTGCTCTCCTCAGAGTAGCAGTTATATGCAGTGGTAGCAATCTTTCTCTGTCACTGTTATTACCTGGGGGCTAAGTGGACATGTTTGGGTGAGGAACTGTGACAAACAGTTGACATAGTCACCTCATTAAATGGTTATAGCTAACTAAGTAAGAAACATGCGCTCCTTCAGAGGCCCCAGTATCCTAAGAAGAGCAAAACAGTTGTTTCCTCTGTTCTCATTAAGAACTTAAGCCTTCTTCATATTGAAGAGCTTCCATAAACAAAAGGAGGGATTACTGGATGTTCCCACAAAAATTGTTTGTGTAACTGAAAGACATCTCTATAAACGGGAGCTCTCGGTGTTGGCGCAGAGCATGACAAAAGTTTCATCCTGAGGCCCTGGGGGGCCAGGGCCAGGGGCAAGGGCAGATTCCAAAGCTGCAAGGGACTGTTCTTCCTGGATTAATTTTGTTCTTCAAGATGAGTTCTCAACTTGAAAGTGATCATGAAAATGCCTGTTTCCCAGCCTCTGCTGCAGATTTCTTATCCAGTGCAGAGTTGATTCTGCATGGCGGTGTCCTCTCTGGACAGCTCCGAGTCTCTTAAATTTGGGACACATGCTTGTTTTTCTCCCCAGGTGGAAACACTATTCTTCTTGGGTTGCCTTGCCTTGAGGAGTGTCTCTGTCTTATATTCCCCAAATGCAAGATTATTGAGAACTTCTGGACTCTCCCAGATAATAAAGGGGACACTACATGTTTTTTCCTAACTCAGCCTCTGTAAACATTATGTTACAGATTCTTTAGACCCAGGCCATCCCTCCCTCTTCTTTTTTGAGATCTGCCCTCCTCTTTGGCCACCATTTTTATATGATGTGATTCTTGCCTTCCTGGGCAAGGCTGATTGGATAAGATATGGACACCTGCCTCGATGTAGGTCAAGCAAGTTCTCTGTCCTGAAAGATTGAAATGGAGAGTCAGGGATGCTAGCCAATACCAGCTGGTTGCTAGAATCAAAGATATATGAACTGTAGATCTGTGCCAATAAGTTTGGCTGCCACTAAACATTGGTCATTTGAAATATGGCCAATCCAAATTGAGATATTTTCTAAGTGTAAACTGCACATTGGATTTTAAAGACTTAGTATGAAGGAAAAATTCAGAATATCTCTCATTAAAATTTTATATTGATTATATGTTAAATTATATTTTTCATATATTAATTAAAAGAATATTTTAAAAATTAATTTTACCTTTTAAAATTGTGACTATTAAAAGTTTTTAAATTGCATTTGTGATTAATTGTATTTATATTTGGAAAGTGCTACTCTTCTCTCCTCCACCATATTTTCATTGTGGTAAAATATACACAACATAACATAGCCATTTTAAGTGTACAATGCAGTGATATTAAGTACATTCTCAATATTGTATCACCACTACCTATTTTTATTTTTTTATTTTTAATTTTTTTGAATGTAATGAATCTTTATTGTTCATATTATTACAATTGTTTCTCCTCTCCCCCCCCCCCGAACCTGTAGCTCCCCTCCTCCCAGTTTCCACACCACCCTCTGCCCTTACCTCCCCCCCACTGTCCTCATCCATAGGTGTATGATTTTTGTCCAGTCTCTTCCTGCACCGCCCAAATCTATTTTCCCCTGAGAATTATCAGTCCACTCCCTTTCTATGCCCCTGATTCTATTATATTCACCAGTTTATTTGGTTCCTTCGATTTTTAATTCACTTGATTTTTAGGTTCACTTATTGATAGATAGGTATTTGTTGTTCATAATTTTTATCTTTACTTTTTTATTCTTCCTTTTCTTAAAGAATACCTTTCAGCATTTCATATAATTCTGGTTTGGTGGTATGAACTCCTTTAGCTTTTTTTTTTCTTTTTTTTATCTGTAAAGCTCTTTGTCTGACCTTCAATTCTGAATGATAACTTTGTTGGATAGAGTAATCTTGGTTGTAGGTTCTTGCTATTCATCACTTTGAATATTTCTTGTCACTCCCATCTGACCTGCATAGTTTCTGTTGAGAAATCAGCGGACAATCGTATGGGTGCTCTGTTGTAGGTAATTAACTGTTTTTCTCTTGCTGCTTTTAATATTCTCTCTTTGTCTTTTGCCCTTGGCATTTTAATTATGATGTGTCTTGGTGTGGTCCTCTTTGGATTCCTTTTGTTTGTAAGTCTATTTCTTTCATTAGGTGGGGGAAGTTTTCAATCATTATTTCTTCAAATAGTTTTTTAGTATCTTGCTCTCTCTCTTCTGGCACCCCCATAATTCTGATGTTGGTACACTTGAAGTTGTCCCAGAGGCTTCTTGCACTATCTTCAACTTTTTAAAAAATATATATATTTTATTAATTTTTTAAAAGAAGAAAAGAGAGGGATAGAGAGCCAGAAACATCGATGATAGAGAAACATTGATCAGCTGCCTCCTGCACACCCCCTACTGGGGACGCGCCCACAACTAAGGTACATGCCCTTGACCAGAATCAAACCTGGGACCTTTCAGTCCTCAGGCCGATGCTCTACCCACTGAGCCAAACCAGTTTTGGCCAACTTTTTTTTTTCTTTCATTTTTTTAATTAAGGTATTATATGTGTACATATCTTACCAATTCCCCCTCTCCCCCACTCTCATACATGACCTCCCTTCCCAGAGTTTGTGTCCATTGGTTATGTTTATATGCATGCATACAAGTCCTTCAGTTGATCTCTTATCTCCCCCATATCTCCCTACCTCCTCACTGTAATTTGACAGTCTGTTTGTTGCTTTACCATCTCTGTATCTATCTTTTTGTTCATCAGTTTATAATGTTCCTTATCCATAAATGAGTGAGATCATGTAGTATTTTTCTTTCATTGACTGGTTTATTTCACTCAGCATAATGTTCTCCAGTTCCATCCAGGTTGCTGCAAATGATAAGAATTCCTTCTTTTTTATGGCAGCATAGTATTCCATTGTACTATAGTTTTTTGATCCAATCATCTGCTGACGGGCACCTAGGCTGTTTCCAAATCCTAGCTATTGTAGATTGTGCTGCTATGAACATAGGGTGCATATATCCTTTCTGGTTGGTGTTTCTAGTTTCTTGGGATATATTCCTAGGAGTGGGATTACTGGGTCAAATGGGAGTTCCATTTTCATTTTTTTGAGGAAACTCCATACTGTTCTCCACAGTGGTTGCACCAGTCTGCATTCCCACCAGCAGTGCACAAGGGTTCTTTTTTCTCCGCATCCTCGGTAATCGCTGCAAGCACCTCTGAGAGAAAGCTGCCCTCGAGTTTCTCCTGCTGCCAGTTTCTCCCCCAATGAATCTGGATTCCCAGATTCTCACCCAGCATTGGAGTTCAGAGCAGTCAGGAGCTTCCAGTTCCCTCCAGCCAATGGCGCAGTCAGCAGTCAGTCCTCTCTCCAGACTTCTGCCTTTTGTAGCTCCCCTGAATTTCCGCCTGACAGTCCTGATCCCCCCGTAAGAGTGTGGGTCCCCTGTGGCTCGCCCAGAACTGGGGTTTATTGCATTCAGAACTGGAGTTCAGTGCATTCAGGAGCTTCCAATTCCCTTCTGCTAGGGAATGCCAGGGCAGCCTCCGCAGTCAGTCTTCTCTGCACATACTTGCGCCTGTGTGCGCCTCCAGACCCTTGCCTGCTGCAGCTTCCCTGAGTCTCTTGAGTCTCCTTGTGCTTTTCTCTCTACCTGAAAGTCCAGACTTTCTCCCCTCCCCTGTATGAGCCTGGGTCCATGGGGTTACGCCGTAGTTTTGAAATTGTGCGAGGCAGCAGTTTAGGTGCTTACCTATACCACCATATTGGTTTCTCCACCACTACCTATTTTTAGAACATTGTTAAATTTTTTTAAATATATATTTTATTGATTTTTTTTTTTTTTACAAAGAGGAAGAGATAGGGATAGAAAGATAAAAACATCAATGAGAGATAATCATTGGGGATGTGCCCGCAACCAATGTACATGCCCTTGACCGGAATCGAACCTGGGACCCTTCAGTCTGCAGCCAACGCTGTATCCACTGAGCCAAACTGGTTTTGGCAGAACTTTGTTATTTCTAACAAAAATTTTTTACCCAATAAACAATAACTTCCCACTCCTCCCTCTTCTTAGCCTCTTGTAACCTCCATTCTACTGTCTTTCTCTGAATTAACCTATTCTAGGTATCTCATATCTAGGGAATCATATAATACTTCTTCTTAAGTGTTGGTTTTATTTCACTTAGCATAATGTTTTCAAGGTTCATCCATGTTATAGAATTCATAAGAATCACATTCCTTTTTTTAAGGCTTAATAATATTCCATTACATGTATACACCACATTTTATCCATTTACCTTTTGATTGATATTTAGGTTGTTTCCATTTGTTAGCTGTTGTGAATAATGATTATTTGAGCATTGGTGTACAAATATCTGTTTAAGTGGCAGCTTTCAATTCTTTTAAGTATACACCTAGAAATAGAATTGCTGGGTCATATGATAACATTTATAACTTTTTAAGGAACCCCCAAATGGTTTTCCAAGCAGTTGCACCCTTTTGTGCAAGGGTTCCAATTTCTTCACAAATTCACACCAACACTTGAAATTTTCAACTTTTACAATTATAGCCATCCTCATTGTGGAAAGTGCTACTTTTAATCTTGTCACATGTTCCTGGAGAAATAGAGAAAACTGATCCATAGAGAAAGAAGAATTAAGCAAATGCTCAGAGATATCAGATACAAGAACATGTGACTATAACCCTGGCTGGGGTGACTCAGTTGATTGAGTGTCATCCAGGTTACCAAGAGGTCACCAGTTTGATTCCCTGTCAGGGGACATGCCCAGGTTGTGGGCTCTATTACCAGTTGGGGGTGTGTAGAAGGCAGCCAATCAATGTTTCTTTCTCTCATTGATGTTTCTCTCTCTCTTCCTCTCTCTCTTCCTCTTCCTTTCTTTTCCTCTCTTAAAAAGTCAATAAAAAATAGTAAAAAAAATAATAATATGTGGCTCCAGAAAGAGGTGATGGGGGGAGAGAATACAGAAAATGAGAAATGGTAGTTGTTAGAGTGGATAGGGGGCTAAAAGAGAGAGAGGGAATAAGAGATAAAGAAAGTAACAGGGAAAGTCTGTCTGACAGTTCAGTTCTTGGTTTCAGTGATATATGGAAAGGCCTTTCAGCATTTCTAATCATTGGGTTCTAAGAGACACCTCCATGTTCTTATAATAAATTTTAAGTTTTTGGCTTAAGTGTGTTTGAGCTTAATTGCAATGAAAAGAGATACTTATGAGACATAAGGATCTATATATTTCTAAAATATAGGGGCAGAGTTAAAGAGTATAGATATCATGATATGACATAAGATGGAAAATATCTGGCAAATAGCTGGCACTTTATTATCCATTTGAGTCAGACATTGCTAACAAATCATAACTCTAGGCATGACCTTAGAATCCTTTTCAATGAAAGATCTCTGGTCAGCCTCCAGAAACTAGAAATGGCTTAAGAGAGAAATCCTATTTGTTATATTTTTGGGGAAACAATCACTAAAGTAGAATTTTGAGGAGACACATATTTTTTGGTCTAGCTGAAACAATTTTTTTTTTAATCAAGTTGTTTTCTTTTTCTGAGCCTCAGTTGCCTTATCTGTAAAATGGCAGTGATGATAGTACCTACCCACAGGTTGTTATGAGAATGGGTATAGTAATAGAAATGAAACACTTGGGAAGCATAAACACTTATAAAAGTTGCTGGCCCTCAGTTTTCAGGGCCAATCAGAGTCTCTTGTCTTCTGTCCTCAGCCTCAGTATAACTTTATATTAGAGAGGCACCACTGTAAGAATCTGGATTTTACAAAAACTTCCCAACAAGATCAAATGCAATTGTTTTTAGAAGCCAATAGGACCCATCAATTATGTCTTTTTATTTTATTTTCTGCACATAGGAAGTTGGCACTAGAAGGCAGTACAGACAAGGGAGATTTTGAAAAATTACTAACAAATTGCTAAAATTTCAGCCTTTGGGAGAACAAAAAATGTGGTGTGTATGTGTGTGATTTATGCCCCTAAGTGCTGTTCTCCCCCTGAGGCATCTGGAAAGCAATTCTCAGAGAGCAAGTCTGACTGACTCTGGGTCTAGTGCAAGTGGTGTTTCTTCTTGGGCTGTTACAGTGTTTGTTGAAGGGACCATAATGTGGAGTCAGACAAATGAAATTTACCCATAATTATGGCAAGAATGCAGGACAGTTTTTATTTCATCATATTTATCACTTGCTAATGAGTATACTCAGACTTGTGAAATCATATGTTCTAATTCAGAGTTCCAAAAATATGCCCACAATACTCATAATGCATTGCTCTCTTTCTTCAAGCCCAAATGAGAGTGTCCTTGTGGCCACTTGTGAAAAATATGCATGACCAGGGGGATATATGTATCAAACACTGTTCATTTTTCCATCCTGCCATCAAGAGCACTCATCCCAATAAAAGTCAGGAAACAACGCAGTGAGTAATTTTTATAATAACTAATAGTTATGTTGCACTTAAAATTTGCCCCATCTATCCTAAACACTTTATATATGTTCATTTAATCTTCACAATAACCCCAAAATATTTGGACTGTTATTATTCCCATTTTATAGATAAAGAAACTGAACCAAAAGAGATTAGGTGATTCACCCAAGATCCCACACCTGGTAAGGGGAAGAAGTCATACTCTAATGGCTGTGAAGACCTAGACCACTAAACAGAGAAAAGTGAATTCCAGAGCTATTATGAAGGAAGAATCAGTTATATTCATCTCCAGAAATAGCAGCACAGAAAGTGAAAATGGAAAAGGAAGTCAGTGACCATGGAGCCCTCCCAGATAATTTTAGAAATGAGGAAACTGAGGTCCAGAAAGGTTAAGTGGTCTGCCCAAGATCATGTAGAGCAGTGTTTCCCAAAGTGTGGTACACGTACCCCCAGGGGTACGGGAAGAGTTCGGTGTGGGTAAGCGTTGCACCGGAGTATGGTGGGGATATGCACTGCACCGTGCTTAGCTGTGCCTAATTCTACGTTCTCATGAGTACAAGGGGTATCAGCATTACGAAAGTTATAGAAGGGGTACACATATGTCAAAAGTTTGGGAAACACTGATGTAGAGAGTTAGTGGCAGACCCAGGGAGATAAAGCTCATGACATGACTCCTGTTCCATTGTTGACCACAATTCCCTCATTGTCGTGTGGGCCTGGGTAAGTCCTGTCAGGCAGCTGCCCATGGCTTTTTAGTTTAGGTCTAGCAGATTTTCTGCTCTTCTGCTTTGGCTTCTCTTTCCTTCAAAAGGTTTCCAGTCATGGAGTTCAAATGTCATTTCTGATTCCCTCTTTTGCCTGTCATTGTCATCAGTCTTCCCTTTACATTCCCATCAGACTGCTTTTCTTGCAACATTATTATCAATTCATCCCTCCTCTGCTCCAGAGTCTGGACAATCATCATCTCTTTTAGAATGTGGTGGTACAGAGGACCACAGTGATTGGTCCAGGGTGCATATGACCTTAACTGAGTCAAAGACACAACCTGGAGCTTAGCAAAGGGTTATTCTCTTCCCTAAAAAGTTGCTAAGCCCTTAGGATATAATTCTGGTTGGAAACCTGAGGACATATCTGAGACTAAAGCAACACAGTAGCATACAGTACTGACAGAGGGAGGGAATTTCCAGTGACACCTAACAATCCATGGACTTTTCAATTACATCAACCAAACATGACTCAACTTCTGCCTTGTTGTCTGGAATAATTTCACCTGCAGTCACATGGAAACAACCTGCCTATCTAGAGGCTACCATGCTGTAAGGAAGCCCAAACTTGTCCTCATGGAGAGGCCACAAAGAGAAACCTTAAGACCACACTTGGAAAGAGGGGGAGAGATGCTGGAATAGATCCAGCAGGTGCTACCCCCTGCTGTTCCAGCACCATTAAGGGACCCCACAGAAGAGCCATCCAGCTGAGCCCTTACTGACTCAGTTACGCAGCCCTGGGTGATCATGTAGCTTTTTTGTCATCAGTCAATGATGACAAATCATAACTTACTCCTCCCACCAAAGTAGCCTTGGTGCTTAGCACAATCCCTGGCATTTAGGGGTTTTCTCAAAAATACTTGTTGAATGAATGAAGGAACATGGTCAGGGAGGTAGGAGAAGATCAAAAGGTTGACAGTGTTTGGGAACTCAATGAAGATTTGACCTCACCGTTCCAAAAAGTATGTGAGAATGGAGAATGAATAACAGTGGGTGTTATGAATCTACTGAAGTTATATAAGTAGATTGCACATATGTTCAATCTTTTTTTATGGGAAATTTTGAAGACATCTGTCCCAAGTATGGGTCCTGAAGAGAATTCATTTGCCCAAAGTGCCAGAACAATTCTACTTTGCATTCTTCCTTTGCATTCAGACTGGGGAAGAACAGAAAGTGGGGGTAGGTTCTGTAAACAGCAAAGTAAATGAGAATGCTGCTGTGTTTTAATTTAGAATTACTCATACAAGCCATTCTTATTAGCTTTTTTTATTTTTAATTCAAACTAATGAAAATTTGAAAGGAAATGAGATGTTCCATGAGATTTAGCCAAACACTGAATAGGTTTTATGGAATTTGACTGCAAAATTAGTTATGGATGGTGTTTTGGCCAAAGCCAGTACTGAGATTAAAATACGGCTTGCCTGTTTATAAAACGTGATGGTGCCCACTGTGAGACCTCCGGTGGGCTGTTGTAAGGGGCCCTGTTGTTATCTGTTCCTAATTACCTGGGAGATGAAAAGATTTTTAAAATTTAACAGTAGCAAATGAGCTCTATTCCATTGGGTTTTCTTTATTGACCAAGGATCAAACAGCAAAAGCAGAAAACTTTTAAATCAGATACTGAAATTAGTTGTGATATATGTGTGCATGACATAGAGATTAAACAGTGTCTGCATTAGAAACAATGAGAAAAGCAATCATTGAATGGTTGAATGCCTTTTTTTTTTTTTTTGCAAGTAACAGAGCCTCTATATTCAACATTTAAAAGTATTTTGGGCCGAGACCGGTTTGGCTCAATGGATAGAGCGTCGGCTTGGGGACTGAAGGGACCCGGGTTCGATTCCGGTCAAGGGCATGTACCTTGGCTGCGCGCATATCCCCAGTGGGGGGTGTGCAAGAGGCAGCTGATCGATGACTCTCTCTCATTGATGTTTCTATCTCTCTATCTCTCTCCCTTCCTCTCTGTACAAAATCAATAAAATATATTTAAAAAAAAAAAAAAAAAAGTATTTTGGGT